AACCATTATATGTGTAAAGATGAAAATTTCACAAAATGTGTAACTAATAATCATAATTCATTTCCCAAAATTTCAGCTCGATCCGTCTGGCGGAAAAAAAGTCGGTTTTTCAATCTCTCTCATAATGGATGTCGAAGATACATCTTTTTCAATATTTGTCTATACTATTCAATCGTTATAGAGTGCAAAAGACAATAGACGTCAATTATTGAATTCTGCTTATTGCATATTGGATTAATTATTTTGCAATATCTGCTGCGATCAGCGTATCATTTTAACATTTCTAATTCAATCTGAATCTTTGAACAACCGTAATATTCTATTGTGTGTGAAATTAATTAACGGTCATGCGTAACGAATTTTATTTTCACTTAATTAAAAAACAAACAAATAATAGTCTTTGATGTCTTCAAGAATTTGAAGAAATTCCTATATTCGGTTCAAAATAACGAAGGTTTGAATCTGAATCAAATTCTAAAAGGATTCAAAACCTCGAAATTCTAATTAGAAAAATCTGTTTCATCCATCTCACCACCGACTGAAATACACCATCTAACAAGCAATGTTACCTGTCTCTCGTATATATATGCCATGCACTGTCTCAAAATATTATGGTAAATGTGTAACACATATGACAAATTTAACACGTGTAACAAGTGTGACAATGTTATCTTTTAGATAACGTTATCATATTTTTAGCATGTGACAGTGCTACACAATTAACAACATTATTAATAACAATTAATAACAATATTTTGCGACAGTACATGCTAAATGTATATTTCTATTGATGTTTCAAGTGATGGATAGAAACCAGAAAAATTATCCAGCGATTCACTAAAAAACTAACATCTTATTGTAAGCAGTGAGGAAAGAAACTTCGTTTCATACTTGACAAAAATCCGGACTATAACATTTCTGTAGCAATTAATTATTGCAATAATTATTTTTTAAATTACTAATTAGCCAGTATCTCCGATATGTTTCACAAGCGCCACAAGATCACAAAGTCGCTAGTCAATAGTCTGACAGGTGACGCAAGAGTAACAAATTTGACGTAGAGTAAATCTAAATTCTTCTGAAAAGGTTGTCTAACATAAAAGTTAAGTAATATAAGTTGAGGAGTTATGATCTTATAGTAGATGCTGGTGAAACTAGATCGGGAGGCTCAGGATCTTAACGGCCAATCATCTCTGTCTCTTGGTCCTCTATATAAACTCTTTGATTACTTAAGGCAAGATGGTGATGACTTTTCAGCTAGAGTAGGCTGCAACGTGTTTCTATGATTAGCGTATGGTACACTACCTAATTTAAAAACCCATTAATGTAAGTTTATTGCGCTTTGGAAGTAAATCTATGCTTTTTTAGTTTAAAGGTTTCAGGAAAGAATATCTGACTATCGATTTTATCTATGACTTTTATAACGTGCTTTGGTTTGTTTCTTTTATTTATATCCTAAAACATGAACAAGAAAAGCTATTAAAAGTACTGGTGCTATTTATAGTAAAAATGTATCATGTGAGAGAGGAGAGATACCGAACTATCGCATGATGTTCGAAAAGCTTGAAAACTTGCTGGATCGTTTCTACGTTGGTAAATTTAATAGGCCTAAATTTTTTAGATACGATCTGCTGGAGATAGTTGATAATTTTGTTCATCAAAAATGGAGAGTTCATGAAACCACTCTTCTGATGAAAAACGAAAATTTCTCTTTCGAACGCAAGTGCAGTTTCGTCCCTCTTCAGATCCATAACTCTTTCCAATATTTTTTCTCTCTCGTTCTAGTGCACTAGAAAATCTAGCATGATTTTTGGTATACAGACGAAAGTGATGTATTGTTTTGTTGTTTTAGATCTAAAAGCTCATTGTCAAAATGACGAAGGGTACATCGTCATTTGGTAAACGTAACGTTAAGACTCATGCACTGTGTCGTCGATGTGGTCGTTCATCGTATCATTTACAGCGCCAACGATGTGCTGCATGTGGATTTCCATCAAAAAAAAATACGTAAATTTAATTGGAGTGAAAAAGCACGACGAAGAAAAACAACTGGTACTGGTCGAATGAGCCATTTAAAAGTTGTTTTTCGACGATTTAGAAACGGTTTTCGTGAAGGAACATTAGCTAAATCACAAAAAAAACATAGAAATCAACAATCGTCAAGTGGTGGCGCATCATCGACAGCAACAGTACCAGCTACAAAATCATAAGAGAAGAAAAAAACAAATGATAAAACAAAAAAAGTAAATAGCCAAATTCTTGTCTATTTAAATTTCTTGTTATTGTTGTGTTTTGCTTTCTTAAATATTTGTTGTTTATGGATCATAGACAAGGGAAAAACCCAAATAAAATAAAAAATATTTGTTATTATCTTCACCATATTTCTAAAGTTCAATACGATCTAATACGATTTGAAAAGTGAGACAAATGTTCGATATAAATGCAACAATGATGTTTTTCCCTTTCTATGACTTTGTTTGATTACAAATACTTTATACACACTGAGTTGCATTTTAAATTCCTACCTTTTTTAACAAAAACTGATGTGACAAGATAGTATAAAAGTTGGAAAAAGTTAGTAACATTGGCATTGATGGGACGAAGCAATATTATCACTGCTGTGGAGGAAAAATCATGCATAATTGAATTCTTTTGTTCGATCAGTTCAAAATTATCTAAGAAAAAAATTCAATCTGGCCGATACTAAAATGATTACTTTTTTCAGTGACACTGGACACAATCAATTATAGTATGGACATTTTGGTCTTGTTTGTGATATTGCAACAATGACGCTTCTTCGTTTAGTTGATAATAACGTTGCTTACTACAATACACTTTTATTGGGTTGCAATTTAAACTAGATGAGTGTAAGTGTTAAATCGTTAAAATAAGACGAATTTTAGCCTAGTCTCTCTCTATTTATCTATTCTTTGAGTATGTGATGGCCTGTGACTTGTTTTTTGAGAATTTCTTGCAATACGATTTACTTTCAAAAGCAAACTTAACATATTTTTTCTTGCTGATACCCTTGCTAAACGATCATTATTTAGTCATGTGCTACGACTTCAATGATTATTAAAAAATGAAAGTAATTTGATGAAAATTTGATGTCAACATTGAAATGAGAAGTCGTATCAATGATAAGTTATTTTAGTGCAATACTTATGCTGTTCTCAATTTTATCATGACTGATTATGAAAATCTTGTTTTGTGTTTTAAACTATATCTTATTAATGTAAAATGATACGTTTTTATTCATTTAACTGGAGAAGAATCGAAAACGTTCTTAAATTGAATAAAATTAGACTGCGAGAAACGCACATTTCTTCAAAGGTCTCGATCCAGATAATACTCCATCATAGATTTGTTTTTGTAAATCGACCCAAGATTTCTTTCACTTTATATTCAAAGCTTGGCAAATTCTTATGAAACGTTACTGGTCGAAAATTTAAATATTAATAAAGTATTTGTTTGAGTTACTCAGTTTGTTGTGTCACATAAAATCAGAACACACGGTTAAGCAAAGTTTTTTCAAAAGAAATATGGCTAAATTCATCGATTCAGTAAAGATGCATTACCTTAAGAAAAAAGTCATAATGTGTCCTCTTCGGATGTGGGAAGTATGTTAAAACACAGAGAAAATTACTTAATATACAACTATGTAACTGATTCGATATTTATGACAATTTTCTTTATCTTGTGTTTTGACTCTGACTTATTTGTATACTTTCATAAAATATTCGAACATTAAAGGGTTGTCTAAAGCTGGCTTTTTTCTTTAAACTGTTCTTCTTATAATTTTATTGTATACACGCAAAGAGTTCGATAATTAATCTGATACTTCGAAGAGATTTATCCAGGAAGTATATTTTTCATTACCATTTATCGTTATGAATATATTAGTTAAGATATACTTTATGTGTTGTTTTTTATCTTTTATAGCCTCAGAGACTGCCGACACTCTCTATCGATAGATATGACACAAAGTTTAAATGATTTCTATCATGTTTTTAATAGCAGTTCATCATATGATTTATAAAATGAACAATGATAGTTCCTAATAACTGTCAAATATTCACTCTCGCCAGTCGTATATTATGTAGTAGACGATAATAACTCGTCTTTTCTCCAAACTATTGTCCAGAAAAAAAAAGAATGGTAGGCAAAATCGATGCAAACTATCAAGATGTACTCGATTTTATCTGCAGTATATCATGCATTTCAATAGAACGTCTAAAAATTAAAAGAGAATACTTTGGTTTTTGGCAAGGTCTTCTAGAAACCTTCAGAAGTAAGAGAAGATTTTTACTAATCTTAGGCACAGAATCAGATTTGATCGGATAAAATAGAGTACATCCTGATATTCTGATGTAGTTTCAATCGATCTTGACAGTGGTATGAGTTTTCTAATTTTACACGAAAATAGGCAAAATGAGGTATTTCAGCTAATTTAGGTTTTCACTAGGTTTTTGATCTTTTTTTGAAAAGCAAACGCTGTCACGAGATTCAGCGTGATCGATTACATATGTTTCCATTGATTTTTGAGATTATCGTACCTAAAAAATGTTGATCCCGGGGCTTCGAGGAAATGGTTGTAATTTAAGCTGAGATCTTTGCTAAACGATTATTATTTAGTCATCTGCTACGACTTCAATGATTATTAAAAAATGAAAGTAATTTGATGAAAATTTGATGTCAACATTAAAATGAGAAGTCGTATCAATGATAAGTTATTTTTAGTGCAATACTTATGCTGTTCTCAATTTTATCATGATTAATTATGAAAATCAGCTATTTTAGCTAATTTAGGTTTTCACTAGTTTTTGATCTTTTTTTGAAAAGCAAACGCTGTCACGAGATTCAGCGTGATCGATTACATATGTTTCCATTGATTTTTG